TCTTCTCCAGGCTGAACAGCCCCAACTTCCTCAGCCTGTCTTCACAGGGGAGATGCTCCAGTCCTCTTACCAACTTTGTGGCCTTCTCTGGACTTGCTCCAACAGTTCCATGTCCTTCTTACACTGAGGGCACCAGAACTGTACAGAGTATATCTAGTGGGGTCTCACGAGAGCAGAGTAGTGATGGAGAATCACCACCTGCAACCTGCTGCCCACACTCCTTTGGATGCAGCCCAGGATTCAATTGGCTTTCTGGGCTGCTAGTGCACAGTGAAGGTCATGGTGAGCTTCTTGTCAACCATCACACCCAAGTCATCATGCCCATCATCCTTCATATGCTTCAAAACCTTTCACGCATGTATACTACCACATCAATATGTGTCCTACATGATACCACATAACATATACCAGTTGGGAATCAGAAGAAATGCTGTGGATGGTTCGTCATTTTTTTGCATAATGTCATCTGATTTTGCAAATTTACATTTAAGTCTTGCAAATTAATACTGACACATAATACATATTTTGTTAATAACTGTAAGTTGTTAATTAAGATGAATTGATTTCAAAATACAATAAAATTTACTCCAATGTAAAAAAAAAAGCTACTCAAGATAAGAGAAATCCACTATTTGAGCAGTATAAAAATGAAAAGCTTAAGTGCTCATGTTTACTTTGGAGAAAAAAATATTTTCAGATGATACTGTTCTATTTCAAAGAGTTTTAAGCATAAAATATCTAACAGTTGTAGATCTGCAAAATTAATCAGCTGTTGAATATTCTGAAATATTCTGGTTCTCTTCCAAGGGAAGGGTATTCAAATGCCAAGGTCAGACAGGCATTGCATGTAAATTAATCTTGATCTAAACCAGAACTTATTACAAAATGAATGTGAAGACATTCAATCTTATGTGAATATGGGAATTCTTCAAATTTTCCTTATTCAAAGAGTGAAGTATTTAACTTCAATTTGGTTTTAAATGTAGTTGGATAAGGCACAAAGACTATGGGTCCAAATTGTCTGTTATCACAAAAACTCTGGAAATCAAGTATTTTACCACAAAATTGGACTCCTTGTCCAGTGGTATGTAATGGCTAATTTCAAAGGAAAACTCTGACAAAGAGCAGGTGAAGTTGTGTTTGAGATCTTGTACATAGGATTCTATGCTCTACTCTGTTCATTCTCCAGCAGGTTTCAAATCTGCTGTCCTATTTCAACACGTGACAAAAGTGTATGTGTCTTCAGTTACCACATGATGTTCTGTAATGGAGCAATAGGAAAAGTACCAATGTGTGAAAATGGAGAAGCAAGGTACAGAGGGGGATAAAGTTAACTAAACAACAGCAAAAAAAGACATTTCCATATGTGCATTCTTTCACAGGTCATGACGCTTCACAAAACAACACAATACTGGAGACATATATTAATAAAAATATTCTGATCAGATACTTTGCTTTTCCAAAGTTTTGGTAGAAAAATTCCTGTCAAATGAAACAGACACAGGAGACTCCAGTCAGTGCTCACATACAAGATGTTCACAGTCAGCCTAGGATGATGCTTGCTGAATTCTAGCTAAGCTTCATAATAAAGAAAATTAAGGATAAACCACATATTACAAGTGGTGTTCAAACCCAGACCAGAGCTTTCACTGCAGCAGAGACTTTCATATTAGATAACAAAAAAAATTAAATCTTTATCAACAGACAATGGTGCAGAGGTCACAGAGAGATGTTCAAAATCCTCCAGCAGTAAATTCTCTTAAGAGACACCCTCATAGGTTGGAAAGGAAAAGCAATGCAAAAAAACACATACACTTAAATGTGTGAGACAGTGACAGTCAGCAGTACACAGAAGTATAGATTCACAAAAGAACAGTTAATATGCAAGTGAAACTTGAAGAGCACAAATTCACAAATCACAGAAGATAGCCAGACAGCAGATGAATTCTAGAGATACTCTGATTGCATAACAGTCAGTTCTAGCAATCCCCACCAGCCCTAATCCTTATGTTGCCATGTGAAAGATCAAGTGCACCCAAACAGAAAATTTAACTGCAGACAAATGCTATTTTTAAAGAAGAAAAACGTTTAAGTGCTTTTCAATTAAGAAACACAGTACTCACTATAGACTTGTCAGTGACACTTCAAAAATCTTGACTTTGGAATAAGCATTATCATGTTTTGTATAAATATAATCAGAGTACTAGGTTAAGCAACATTAAATGACTCAAAGATGACCTTGTTTCTGTGTCCTCTGTTAAGGAAAAATAATAATAATTACAAACATTTTTATTCTTGGACTTCTGCATAAAGTCTATTGTGAGAGAATGAAGAAATTAGATAGGGACTTCATTCCCACAAAAAGGATCTAGCAAGATTATGTCTAACACTGCCATCTGGTGATTGTGCAATTATACAGTTAAAGAATGAAGAGTTGGTCCCAGTTAATTGAGATGCTTCAGTTATCAGCATTAAGAGATGGCAGAGCCTCCCTCAGAGACCACCATGACTGGCTAAGGTGTTTTTCTCCTCCAGTATAACTTGCTCTCTATTCCTGAGGACTTGTATTCATTCATTATTTCTCTTATGTCACTGGATATTTGATCTGCTGCTACAAGTTAAAATATGCTACAAAAACAATGTTTATTCTCAAGACATGAAGCACAGAAGCAACTTTCTTTAGAACTCTGTTGCTGAAAACAGAACTATTCCTTCAACTCTCTCTCATGCCTGAACAATTAACTCACGTGGAAGAAGTGGTGCACTCAGATTTGCTGAAGGAACTGATAGGAGAAAGTCACACAGGAATTTGACAGCAGTAGGAATCACTACTCTTCTCACATGAGGAAAAAAAATGAAGTATCTG